ACATAGTACCTGTACTACACAATGACAATAAGTTGAATCTTCTTCTTCTTCTTCTTCTTCTTCTTCTTCTTCTTCTTCTTCTTCAAAGGACCCTGGCCAAGCGTCGCTATTGGACTATCAAGGAGTAAGACTGTGTTGGTTTATCTGTTACAATGGCCTTTGTTAGCAACCAGAAAATGACAAACAGATGATAATGCTGCGTGGGGTCTGGGTGCCGTGTTGGCGGGACGTTGCGAGGCTCGCTGCTCCGTCCTTTGAGGCTCGAGGAGCGGACGGTGTGAGCTGTATTACTGTCGTTTCCTGGTTGCTGTGTGGGGTCTGCGAGACAGCGAGACACGGCAGGACTCAGCCTGACTACACACACGTGAGTGTGTGGTGAACTGTGAGTGGAGATCCACGGAGCCGCGGCTGAGAAAAGATAAGGCTGAGTGAGTGTGTGTGCCGGCGAAACTCCGCGGAGTACCGCGGCTGAGAAAAAAGATAAGGCTGAGTGAGTGTGTGTGTGTGAGGAGCTCCACGGATTGGTCCATTTGGACCTGGGTATCGTTACGTCACTATACTCATGAAGAAAAAAATGGAAAAAGAAAATCTCCAACGAGGCGTTCTGGGGCAGCATAGACAGGTCTTTTCTGTGTTAGAGTTTTACTCGCTACAGGGTGTACTTTCAGGGTTTGTAGACCGTTTACATGCAGAAGCTACAGAACACACAAGGGGACGGGTAATAACCGGAAAAGCATGACATGGGCCCTTTACATTCCACACAGATTATGATGTAGCACAGCCTTGTTAACCAATAATGATTCCAAATGTGGTGTGTCAGTCTCACCTGACTTGGATAGTTTTCTAGGAGAGAGTCCAACCCTTCCATCTTCTCCCTCCTCTGAGTACTGGTCTGGAAAAGTAAAGACATGTGATTGATAACGACTGTAGGATATACCCTGTCCCAGAAGGAGGAAAAGAAAAGGGATGAAAAAGCAATTTTGAGATAAAATCAACCTCACCATCTTCATCCTCGTCATCATCTGCTGGATTAATTACCACTGGTGGGTGTGTGGGGCTTGGTACTGGCTCCTGAGTTTCTGTCTTGATCACGCCTCTGAGCTGGGGATTGGCTGCAGTGGGGAGGGGGGCAATTGGCGGGGGAGCTGGTTCCTCATTTGGCTGTTCTTCGGCTTTGCTGAGACCTGAGAGAATCAGTTATTATTCATTTTTTCAGTTGAATGTAAAATTGTCTTAAACCACCCATTTTTATTGAGGTGGTGCGTTCACAGCAGACAAGATGCGAATCCTTACAATCACTCAAACAAGACACGCTGGCAAGCGATCTTATCTCTATGCAGTGTTTCCCACAGAATTTGATTCTATTTGTGGGGGCACCGCAACGCACCCCCCCCCCCC